AATGACATTTAAACCTTTATTTTTGAATTAATTTCAAAAAAAAACATTTTTTCCGTAGTGCATAACTATAGCATAAAACTCAAATCGAAAAAAATCAATTATGAAGTTCGTATTCAATATTTGAGTCTCCATTACCTTATGACGTTTCTGTCATTGTGTATTAATTGATTATTGTCAAAATTCCTCGCGGTAATTACCTTACTGAACTTGAAAAAGGTAAAATTTTGGCTCTAGGAGAAGAAGATATCGGAATTCGAGCCATTGCTCGTAAAATTAATCGGTCTCTTAAGGTCGTGATAACTTTCCTGTGAGATCCGGAGCACTATGGACAAAATAAGAAAGGAGGGCCCAAAAAGAAAATTTCTCCACGTTCTGCATGTCCGATTGTCAATTTAGCGAGTAATTCTTTAAAAAGTTGTAGTGCCATTTCTAGTGAAATTGACGCCAACGTCTCGCGATGGACCATCTGGAGAAGTTTAAAACAGAGTCCCCACATTAAGCGTCAGAGACTACTTCAATGACACAAAAGTGCACGACTTCAATTTACACGAGACAATATGCATCAAAATTAGCAAAAAGTAAGAATGATGATTTACGTTAAAAACTTACATTTTTTTAATTACTGACGATAATTACGAGCATTTTACTTAGATGATATTCTCGGATGAAAAAAAAAATCAATATGGATGGACCTGATGGGTTCAACTCGTATGGGAGAGATCTAAGAAAAGAACTCCGATATTTCTCATAAAGAAATTATGGTGGTGCAAGTGTTATGGTGTGGGGAGCATTTTCTTATAATGGTGTTCTGCAAATCGCATTTCCTTCTTCACGAATAAACAGTGGAGAATATATTGAAGTATTGGATGGTCATTTGATGCCATTTTTTGAAAATAATCATCGAAATGAGTGGCTGTTCCAACAAGATAACGCCCTAATTCACGTTAGTAGGGAGACACTACGATGGCTAGAAGGACAAGAAGTGCGTGTTATCGAGTGGCCGGCTTATTCGCCAGATTTAAACCCTATCGAGTTTTTGTTCGTTCGGTATACAAAGAAAATCATTAGTATGAAACCGTGGTTGGTCTGAAGGCAGCAATTAGAGAAGCGTGGAATAATTTGGACGAAGAGCTTCTTCATAAACTGGTTGAAAGCATGCCTAACAGAATTTTTGAAGTCATTCGTCAAAATGGAGGAGTCACTCATTATTAAATTAAGAATATAAACTGTATAATTACCTTTTTTGAATTTGAATTTTATGTGATGCTATTGCTACGCACCATAGAAAAATGAGTTTTTTCCTAATTAATTTACAACTACATGTTTATTTTTTTTAATATTCTGGTTCAATAAATATTGAATCATATTCCAACTTTAAAAATTAACTTTTCTAGAAGAGGAAGTAACGCGAACCTACTTGATTTTTAAGGCTAAATAGGGTAAATTAAAATTTTGTAGGTGTAAAAGGTGTACAATAAAACAGATAAAGTTTTGACCTCGAAACCCTAGATTTTTTAGAAAGCTTATTAAAAACTCTACACGATAAAGTAATAACATACAGGGTGTTTCGTTTAAAAAAAATTAGATAATTGATATTTTGCGAGTGTCAACACTCTGCAGTAGTTGCAAAAGATTGATTGAATTTCTACCATAATAATTTAGGACTAGACTCAGTAAAAATAGTTGCAAGTGTTTTTATTCACTTTTTCTTTCTAGCAAAGCCGTTGTGATTTTTCAAAAATGGTCCTTTTTTTTTCATCAAATTGCCCATAAATGATAAACTGTCCATGATAGACCTAATATGGATATTCTTAGAATCAAAAACTCTTTCAAATAAGCGCATAATATACCATGTGTTCCATAAGAAAAAATATAACTTTGTTGCGTCTCCCTATATAGAAATTACTTATAATGACGAAAATATTTTTGGACCATAGAAAAAATGAATGTCTATCGTCCAAAAGAAATCGCATTTCGTTATCTTCTTTAGTGTCAGAGTAATCGAAGAAATACGGAGCTCTGGGACAGCAAATGCTTCCAAAGAAAAAATTACGAAAATTGACATTTGTGGTAATTTTTCTCGCTGAATCTACACATTAGTGTAATGTCTAGCTACGTAAAGCACTGTGACATTAATTCTATAAGAATAAATAAAATAAAATTAAAAAAATTCTGAAAAAAAAACCCATAGGTATTAAAATTGTATAAACAGTAATAAATTTTATTTTTTAACTTTTTTCATTGTGTCTCCCCATAGTAGCTGTTATACCACATTATTAAAATATGATCTCAACTACCGTATGAGTGGCTGTACTTTTGATACCACTCCAGGAGCAACCCCTTAGACTTAAAAGTCAATTTTAAAAACTATAGATCAAATATGTACTTTTTATAAGAAATTGTGCTTAAACAAAACAGGTTACTAATTTTAATATCAAAATAATTGTGTTTTACTTTCGTTTTTAGGTATTCGTTTATAGGTATTGTCTTCAACCCCCATGAGCTTACTTTTTGGTTGCTTTTTCATTAAAAAATCCAGAATAATGTTGCGATGTCTGTATTTATTACGAAAAATTAACATTTTTGCTGGCGGAAATTTCATTGTGTTTCAGTGACTACTTAAAATTCCGAGGGTATTTCAGCAACGCTTTTCGGTGAATTTGTAGGCGGGTCTTTTTGGGGAATAATGTGGTTTGTCAATAATATCAACTAATTTCAACATAACGTGACCCCTTTTCTCTCTAGATCAAACCTTTTGAATTTTAGAATTGTAGAAACTTGCTTGATGCTGCAAATACATTCGACTGGTCGGATGGTACATTTTTAAAATTGTTTCATTTGAATAAAGAAGAGGCTCAATGTTTAATTAATGAAATTTAGCTTCATGTAAACGCCGGCTTGCACCATGCAGCTATACCTTTTTTTTTGGTCATGGGAGTTATCAACTTTTTGCGGTCTGTAGGTGTATTTTATATATACTTTATAAGTTTTATAAGTTACTGAAATTGTAACGGCGCATTTAATAAACCTTTGCATAAAATTTCCTCAAACAGATTAAGAAATAAATAACAAAAAACGATTATTTCTTCAAAAATATGACGACACACATGTAGCAATTTGAACTTTACTTGTCAATTGCCGTCTATACAGGGTGTTCCGTTTTTATTGTTACAAATTTAAGCAGGTGATAGAATATTCAATTTTAAGATAAACGTTTCCTATAAACATGTATCGGAAAATATTAAATAAGGGAGCTACATCCCCTGAAAGGCTACATCTTTTAATGGATTTTTTCCAATATTTCAGCAACCATTGTAGATAAAATTACAAAATTTGGTACAACTGATAATCTTTATACCTACAAACGAAATCGAAAATAAAATTTCAAAATTTTACTCATGGGCGTTCTAAACTGGGGGGTTAAGGGTAAAAAGTACCCTAACTATTTTAGCAGTTGGTTTTTGCCAATTTCAGCTACAAAATTCTAAATATCATAGTTTTTCACAAAAAAGAGATCTCTTGCGTTTTTTCGATACAACTTACCATTTTTGAGTAAAATCAGTTCACAATATGTGTTACAGACCATAAAGAGGATAAAAAATTAAAAATTAAATTTGTTTAACCGTTTAAGACACCCGTGATTAAAACTTTCGACAACTGATCTTTGAATTCGTTTAGGTGTTTAAAGGTTATCAGCTGTACCAACTTTTGTACTTTGATCTATTCTGTAATAATAAGAAAACCCCATTAAAGAACGCATCTCTTTCAGAGGGTGTAGTTCGCTTACATAACATTTTTTGATACATGTTAATAGGAAACATTTCTCTTAAAATTGAATATTATATCACCTGTTTAAATTTGTAACAATAAAAACGGAACATCCTGTATATTTAATTTAAATTGTCGCGTTTAATAGCTTTTCAAAAGATGAATTTCAATCAACACAAAAGTAAAAAACAATTAATAATTTTGTAGTTTTGATGTTAAAAAGTATTTATAGGATCAATAAAGTTAAATTAGGTATTTTCAAAAGTAATGCGATATGGCAACAGAGCTTCTTTTAACAGCTTCGTTATAAAAATTAGTATAACAGAAATGTTGTAATTTAACATTTAACAGGACTGTTATTTTTAACACAAAAAGTACAGAATACGCTTCAATTTCTTATAAAAAGTACATCTTTCTGTTAATTTTGCATTAAAGTAAATAAAGAAACTTTCGTACTTCTTCACGTTTTTCTGGTCTCTCACTCTCACTTGCTTCTTTACTTCAAAAGGATAAAAAAACAATACCTGTAAAGAAGTTTTAGAGAGGTCGGTTCATCGCAAATTATCTGAATGTTCGGGAATCGAGTTTTCAAAATAATTTTTAATAATAGTTGTTAATAATTAACGATTCTGTCTCAATATACTCGTGTACCTCTTCAACGAGAAAAATTCGAGAAAAATACTGGAAACTAGCAGCACTCTAACAGGTTATGTCACCGACATGACAGAAAATTAGAATAGACCAGCTATTTATTGAATGTTCTGGGCAAATTGGTAACCTAGCAACGGATATAATCTTTCAATCACACCTTGAGGTGCCCTTCTGGGATTGGTGGATTTAAGAGTTTAATAACTTTCTTATGCAAGCAAAAATTACTTCTACGGCTGCACTGTTTGGCAATCTATTGCCGCCGGCATTTGAAATTTTTCTCTGGGGCGCGAGTTCTTGCGCACCCTGTATATGATAGTATACTATTAAATTAATAAAAAATATGGGCATTCTGATATAAGAATTGAAAGATTCGAAGATAAGTACAAATTTCAAAATTTACTCCTAGTCTCTAGACACCCGTAACACTACAGCATAATATTGCACATGAGCACATGCACATTAGTGTTTAGTGTATTTTTGTTGTTATACATAAATCGATTAATACCAACAACTACTGTTAGTGCCGGATTTGCTTGGATGCTAGGAAAAGATTGAAATTGAATTGAATTGAAATCAGCAGCTCTCAAAAGGGTGTTTATTTAGTGTCATAGATTTATTGGTGTTTTACAGGTTTAGAAATTACACTATATTTAGGTTTCGATTAAAATTTTGAACATTGTTTGAACCTATTTTGGTGGAAATATTACCCTTCACCAAGGGGGTTGCCTTTCCAAGGATAAACTTGAGGGCAAGGCACACAACTTTTCATGTACCTGTCTTCATTATTCACATTTTTTAGACGGCAGGTAACCCCTAAGCAATCTGCAGTCCTATCATCATGAACAGGTGATTTGTAGTCTTTATGCCCCACGGGATTTTTAATCCATTCGAGAATATCTTGAACAGACACCAAAAATATGTCTTCTTCTTGTGCAATTTTGTCTAGAAATTTAGTGAATCCTTCGTAACTATTATCTGTGAATAGGAACCAGTAGGAGTCTAGTCGTAGCGTTAGAGGTGCACGATTACTATCCCGATAACTCTTGATTTCATCAAATAACCAATCGGCAATTTCGTCAGCGGTACCCCTAAATTTTATTTTTTTAGGATTGTAGCAAAATATTGAAAAAACTTACTGCACGAGACAAGTTGCTAGAGAATTACATTCCGTAGCATTAACACCTTTTATATTTGTTAACGGCGCAATCCAAAAATCTTCATGAGCATCTTTCGGACAATTCATTGTTCCTGTGCATTTTTGTGTAGAAGCATATGTTAGTGTATATGGTAAAATTTGTTCAGTTGAATATGTTGGCCAAGAATTGTCATAGCCAAGACCGGAGGCTACATAAGCATTGATAGATACATCTCCTTCTAATTGAAGTTGGGGTGTTCTCACACCGACAATATCTTTACTTGGAATATTAGCGAATGTCGAAATAATGGTTTTTTGTCCTTCAAACTCGTCTTGTAGATCTTGAGGAGTTGCCTCGCGCCAATACGTTTGATTGGGCTCCTTTCTATTAAAATTCATAACCTAAATGTATCTCTAATTTATAACATAACTAATTACTTACGTTATAGAGTGATCTCCAATTTCATACCCGCGAACATACAAATCTTGGACTAAAGAATAATCAGTGTATTCGTGAGGTACATAAAACGTAAGCCCTATAGGGCCACCGTCGGGATTTTTTCTATCAAAAAACAGTGGATTAAGGTAATTGTCATACAACGTCTGTACAACAGATTCACTGACGGTGATTGCTATAAGCTAAAATAGTATATTATAATATGTACGAGTTTTTTATTCATTTAAGCAAGAGTTGAGAACCAAACGATTGCTTGAATGACATTTTGTAAAGAATGTTTTATAATTTTTTTTTATATTTTGCGCTTTTTAAAGCCAAAACAAATTTGATGAAGGTCGATAACACGTAGCAGTGTTTATAAAGACGAAGAAACATTCAACTCAAACTGATATTATTTATCACTATAATCTGGAAATAAATTCTATAAGATTTGTTCTCTACCAAAAATTCGGGAAAATAGTAAGTTTAGTGTTAGCAAATTACTTCCAACGACATTGTCACCAACATTTAAAACATAAAATACACTCATTGTGGGAAGCTGTTAATGGAAGCACCCAAATATAAGTCCGCTAATAACTTTGTTAAAGTCGCAAAATAGAAAAAATTAAATAATGTATTATTCAGGGTGTCATTTTCATAAGTTGCAATCGCAACTTATAGAGATATTTCTCTAGAACTGAAAAAATTATTGAGAATCACTCAAAATCGTTTTGGTGGTTCCTAGGGGGAATCAAAATGACATGGTAAGTGACGCACCTCCACCCACCCTTGAAGCCACAATCACCCCAAGAAAGAAAATTTTAAATGGCACTTCCCTACTTGTGATACGAGTACATCATTGGAAAGCTCGTAACAAGCGCCTTTCAAAAACGTCATACAACAGCCTATTTAAGCCTTTTTTTCAATTATTTAAAAACAAAGACTTTAAATTTTCATTTTTTTACTGTATTCAAGAGTGGGTGGAGGTGCGTCACTTACTATGTCATTTTGATTCCCCCTAGGAACCACCAAAACGGTTTTGAATAATTCTAAACAACTTTCTTAGTTCTAGAAATATTGCCGATTGCAACTTTTAAAATTGACACACTGCATATTAAGAAAAAGCAATCACTGATAAAAATTTTACCTGGGGAGCTGGATTTTCATCGTCACTTATAGGATTTATTGAACTGGAACAACGACAGTTATCTTCAATTTTACATTTGTCTGGAGAACAATTTTCGGCATTCTTTACCGACGGATAGGCAAAAATTGATGCAGCAAAAAGAAGAACCAACACTGGCGCCTTCATAATTATGATTGACTTCAATTTAAACTTAAGATCTTGAGTTTATATTGTTTTTGTAGCGTGATAAAATTACTTACTGTAATACAAAAGACTTATCTTACATTCTTCTATTTATCGAACCCACTTAAGTTGCATTAAATTAAGCAGAAATGATATAGGTTAATTGGTCATTGATAATATCTCAAAAGTTACGTGCACAAAAAAATACATTGTTCAAGTGTTATTTCGTTAGTCGATATAAATATAGGGCGCCAAAAAAGTACGCTAAATATTTTCTGTCTATGCCATTAACTACTGTCTGAAAAATCTGATATGTAAATTACAATGCTTAGAAAAGCCTGGGTCGTGTGAATGGAAACTTTTTTAAACATTGTTTCGATTTTCAATTTGGTTTTTGAAGTGTTTTGTTTTTCAAAAGTAACTACATACACCCGTAAAAAACAATTTGGATTCTAGAATTAGAGTTAATTTTTATTTTGTTGGGACATATTTGGTCCAGTTTAAAGTTTGAACCACATTTGAACTTACAAAAAGCAAAGTGAAAACACATAAATCTTGAAGGTACTCGTACTATAAGTAAGCTATAAAAAATATGTGTTTGTAAAAATAGTCCATAACTCCATAATAAAGAAGAAAAGCGTTATGAAAATTATTTTATCCACAATCACTCTATAAAGAGACTTTATTCCACACTTTAGATGCGTACCACTTTATCCACTAGTGGAATAAAGTAACCAGCCCACCGCGTAACAACTTACTACGTTTAACCGAAAGCACATTTGGAGTGACGTTTAAATGTCAGTTTAATTTTTAATTAAGTTTGAAATAATTTGGGCCTGTGGATAAAACGTTATATTGCAGTCGTGTGTTAGTCGCGTTTTATCCACTGACAAAAAATTCGCCACCATAGTAAGTAAACAATTTAATTTTTTAGTCTTCAAAAGCTATTTTTAGAGCGTATACAAAAAAGTTATTTAGCAAAAGATACAAGTAGGTATTATAATGATTGGCAATAAATTTTGTGTAATTTATTGAAATGAGTTCAAAGTTGATGCATTTTGTAAATTCTTCTTCAGCTTTAGTTTTAAGATTGTTACTTTTTCAACTCGTTCCACAAAAAAGATGCACAAGACACTAATTTAATTGCGTTCTTTCCGAGGTTCTTTCACGTTCATGTTTATTTTGTATTCTTGTCAATTTCTTGCTAAAAATTGAGAATGTTTAGCAAACCTGCATTACAAATTGTGTACATTTTAACGGGTCTTTTTTCTAACTTCTTGCTTGCTAACTAATCGTTTCCAAATTTGTTAAAAGTTAGCGGTACCGAATTTGTTTTGGACGTTACTGCATTTAAAAAATCGAATCTAACGCTGAACGTTCTAAAAAGTTTAGCGGAAGTGCAGTACCCAAAAATGTATCGGCTTGATGAAATTTGGAAACAATGTACATACCAACCTAATCTAAGTAGCATAATCTTTTCAAGTAGGCTGCAATATTTCTCAATAATATTGACAGTAACAGAAAACTTTCGAGAAATAGGTTTAATTTTTTTCGTTATTGAGACATACATTGACACTTATTTCCTGTGATAAATAATGTTGATAGGATTTAAGTTCATCATAACGATAAGAAAAGGATATGAAGTAACAGATAACTATTTATTAAAGTAAAATGTACAAATAAGCTTATTCATTGGGTAAGAAGATAACTTTCATAAAAACACAAAGAACATTGTTAACTCTAGAGTTAATACTTCTTTACAACTATATGTAACGTCTTGGTTTTGTCGTTATACAGAGTCGCACGAAAATATGGTTACGGCTAAATATTTTAAAAAGGATTTATTAAATTTTATTGAAACTTGATACAAGTTACAAGGATTTAAATTCTATATCGTCGAAATAGCGATTTACTAGACCGGAACTAACGTTTTTATGGACGAGCTAGTAAAATTACGGGTTGAGCCCGATAGGGCGAGACTAGAGAACTAGCGAGGCCCAAATAAAGCGTCTTATACGTCGTGTGACGTATAAGATTTTTTTGTATACTGGAACAATTATGTATTAAAATCAAAAAAATTGTGATAAAAATTTAAATTAAAAAAATTGGCTTTGAAAAAGAGTGCTACACTTTGTTACTATGGTAAACGATACAACAAAATCCAGTTTCCAGAAGTTTTTCATTTGGTTCCTTTAATTTGCCCTAATTTCCTTTAATAAAATGAATTCTTCAAGGACCGCCTTTTGGAAACTATTGAATCGTTTGTTATCATAGTAACAAGGCATAGCAATCTTTTTCAAAATTATTTTTTTTTTAATTAAATTATTATTCCAGATTATTTGCTTTTAAATGATTGTTTCAGTGTATTGAAAAATCTGGTACGCTACACGACCGGTAGACGCCTTAAATAAAACTTAAAAGCAAAACAAAATTTAATTTGCAAAACACGATCACATTTTTATAGGAGTTTTAATTATTATTAACTAAAATTAATTTCTGTAGAAAATGATTAAATGTGTCCCCCTTGTATGATCTACTCTTTCATAAAACAAAATTACATACATTTACACTGTTTTAGATTAGACGGTTCACAATATCGCACACCTAAAACAAAACATTATCAACTCAAAAGATTTTTCAGTAAATTATTTATTCGGATTTTACTTACAAAGTAATAATTATTATAATCAGCATCAAGCTAAATATCTTTTTTGGCCTTGACAACTGTAATTGACATTTTAATACATTTTTGACAGCTACAGTATCTGATTTTTACAAAGCATTTGTAAGGTTTCGCGCACGCAGTGCTGTAAAATAACAAGAGAATTTTAGGCCTTTAGAGATTCCGATAAAAAGATACTTTATGGTAAGTAAAGTCCATTAATGCTGAAAAAAATTACCGCACAAATTTATCTAATTAGTATTCAAAAACAAACACATTTTTTTCAGCAAGATTCTATTCAACGCCACCTCGTAGTGAAAATAGTAAACGCAAAGACACGTCATGTGTTGACAAATCGAAATTTAAATTAATCGAAGAACGGTCATCGGTCTTCGACCAAAAAGTTTTGTACATTATTTGTGTGTTAGGTATGTACTTCACAGCGTTTAGTTTTATTAAAGCTCTCAGCTTCGCTTCGAGCTTCAATATTAAAACTTTACGCTGTAAAATTATACCGTGCGATCAAAAAAAAATAAATAAATTAGAGTAGGCGGTGATTAAAGACCTTCAGATAACAGTCCTGATTTTTGACATCAAATGTCAGTGGGAACTTTGACAAGTTTGCGTTTTATTCATTTTGAGTGAAATAATGTTCACTTTAGAGCAGAAAATTTTTATTGTTGTAAGTTTTTACAAAAATGCTGTACAAGACGAAAACGATGAATGGTCATATTCACTTTTAGTTTGTGTGGAAAATTTCCAGCTCAGATTCCCAGCCAATGTGTTGCCAAATGTAGAATATTAATCGTCGCCTACTCTAATTTATTTTTTTTTTGATCGCACGGTACCTACCACACGTATAATGACGTATAATGAATTAAATAACTATAAATGTACACATAGAAAATAGGTAGAAGCTGACGCGGTTTAGTGAGTCCTCACAAGCTCTGAACCAGTGGCGTAGTGGTTCTGTTCGTGCAACGGAATACCGCGTTAAAACTTGAGAAAAATAAAACTTCACGTATAACGTATTCAGTAAGGGCAATTTTTACTTTTATTTGTAAAAATTCTATCAATGAATTAAATAAAGTGAATAAGTAAATATATTTATTTCTGTGTTACATAATAATCTATTTTCATTTTTTTTTAATTTATAGAGGCTGAATACCTAGTTTCTTCGTCCTCAGATTCCTCCGCTTCGGTATCAGACCAGCAGACCAGCAGACCAGTTTTTAAATTTGATTTTATGTACATAATTAAACAGGCAGTAAATTACCTGAAGGTTATAAACCTCTTTTATTTCCATTTCATAAATTTTTGAGGAAGTCTAAGTAGAATATTATGAATATAACAGACATTTACCAAAATTATAGTGCTCTAAAAAATTGCGTTTTGGTGGTTAATACTGTTTTGCTGTAAGGTACAGATATGTTCTTTTTTCATATAGTCATTGACAATGTCAACATGTTCACATAATTTTGTCTAATCATCAGCCGTAATTGCCGCAAGTTTTTCTTTTTTTAATTTTTGACATCGTCTAATCTAAAAGTAATATGTCTTGCTGCCACCTAATTTTTTTCCAGAGCCCATATTTTTTCAATAGGATTTAGCTCTGAATGATAGAGTGACAGCCGAAAAACAAAATACTTTTTATTGGATCCTCTTAGTATGGGAATGATAAACAAAAACACGATTAAACCCGTCACACTAAACTTTTATTTAAAACACGACGCGTTTCAACCACAAAGTGGTCATCAGGTGAGAATAAAACTCACCTGAGGATGACCACCGTGTGGTTGAAACGGGTCGTGTTTGAAATAAAAGATTGGTGTGAAGGGATTAATCGTGTTTTTGCTTAGAAAAACAAAATGACAAAATTTTCTCAACAAAGCCGGTGTTGTATTTGATGGATAATTGTGGTACCATTTTGTTTGTAATTGCAAAAATTTGATAACATTCCTTGCGAATTAATTGTCAATTAGCTTTGTCTAGAATTGCACGCCAATGATGTGCCGCGCGTTGAGAGTTCGGAGTTTACTCTGAATTTGAAAGTGGACTGGGTCCGACCAAAATTCGTTCGTCGCCCATCAACGGAGATGTGTTCTTTTCAAACCGCGTCTAGAACAATGTAATGCTGCATTTCTCTGTCACCTTTCAATAATATGGTGCGTGCTTTTTTGAAAATTCTATAGATATGAAATAAGTGGACAGGCATTTTTTCTGCAAAAACTTTGACTGTTCTGAGAAATTAAGACTCGTTTATCCATAGCTCTATACTTATCTCGTTAGCTAATCTATTTTATTACGTAAATAAAAGTAAAAGATTTATTTAATCTTGTCTTCTAGAACAAAGTTTTAAGTACCTGTAAACAAACAGATATTTTAGTCACTACATTTTTCTACTAAAGATAAATTGCTGCAAACAATTAAATTGAAGACAGTGGCGGCTCGTAGTATTTTATTAAGAGGAGGCAGATCTTTTTTATATAAAAAAAATAGAACTATACACATGCCTTCTACTTAACGACTAAAAAATGATTCTCTGCTTTTCTGACCACCAAAAGCTAACTTTTAACAGCAAAGAAAAATACAAAAATCGACTAACCTTCTTAAAAAATTTTTGAACGTTTTATTAAATTTATTAATTTTAATTTGCGGGGCCAAATCTACATTTGTGGCTATATTTTATTTACCCTGGAGATGTAATTGGCTACTCATACATACAGGCTGTCCCAGACTTATAGGGAGGGGTATGGATCTATCATGGACCGTTAATCATGTATGGGGAATTTTATGAAAAAAAAATGCCATTTTTAAAAAATCGCAGCGGCTTTGCTGGAAAAAATGTGAATAAAAACAGTTGCAACCATTTTTACTGAGTCTAGTCCAAGTAACTTGATTTTTTTTAATGAAACATCCTGTATGTTATTGCTTTATCGAGTAGAGCTTTCAATAAAAAATCTAGGGTTTGGAGGTCTAAACCTTACCTGTTTTATTGTACACCTTTTTAAAACCTTTTTTAAACACTGTGAGTGTCAAAACCATATAGTGGCTGTAAATACCTCTATCTAGTTGTGCAATTTTTGACACTATAAAGTATCATGACTTTAAATGCCATTACGGATTATTTCTTTCGATTTTAGTCAGTTCATAATTAAAATTAGTTTGACAAAGAAACAATTGTTTTAAAGTTGTGTCTTAAAGTTTGTTTTTTAAAGCCGACTCAAATCGTACATTTATTTGATCGTATACGATCAAATGGTGGTGAAATTTTCGGTAATTTTAAAAACGTTTTATATAAAAGTTAAGGTAATTAATACTCATAATATCATAAGTGAATATAAAATATTTTTAAGAAAAACACTAAAACTACCTTATCTAATCGCTTCCTGTAATTCCTGTAATTCTGTCCGTTTTTGATTGACGAGCTCTCGTGTTATCAGATACTGAAGCAAGCCTATATTAACCGCACCACAAAAATAGGTATATATAGTTATCCTCTTTACTACTTTTGAAACTAAAAAAGTATGAAGATTATAATTTTTCTTTTTTATGCAATATGCATTGTAAAAGGGCTTCCGCCCCTCAACAATTCAAGCATTTGTAAAAGCACATTCTGTGAAATTGAAAATGATTGTCGCTGTTCTTCTACAATTAACCCAATTACCAACATTGATGATCCAGCACCACAAGTACGTATTTATGTTCTTGCATTTGTGTAGTAAAAATGAGTAAAATATATTTTTATAGTTTATAGCAATAACAGTAAGTGAGTCTGTTGTTACAACGCTATATCACAACTATTTAGTGCCTTTACTGTATGGTCGTACAAACCCTGATGGAAACTCAATTGGAGCAACATTTTACGTCAACCACGAATACACAGATTATGAGTTAGTCCAAAAATTATATCTTCATGGTTATGAAATTGGTGTACATTCGATAACGTAAGTTTGTATTGAACGTTTACCAACGACTATAAAGATGTGATGCTTTTCGCAAGCTTTTATAATTCCGTTTCAATATCAACAACACATTTTTTGCCAAGCAAAACTTTAGTATAATGGCACTAAAATTTCCATCTAAATTAATAGCTATAAACAGTTTTGAACAAAAGGTTTTTGACGTTTGATTTTTGTCAAAATGTCAAAATTTTTGCATAAGTAATTGAACAATAGTTAATTGTATCACAAGGCTAAAAACTGTAATTTTGCGAGCGCGGTTTATGAGTTGAGGCGAGTAACGGTTTTGGAGATATCGAATGTAAATTTTTTGTTTGAACAGACTGCAAATAAAAGCTTCAAAAAAACGAATTTTGATACCTCTGAAACCGTTACTTTGCGGACCGGACCCATGTTTATTAAAAAAAAATTGTTTGGTTTGATCCATACTATTATTTCCTGAAATATTTTACAATCTTTTTTTAACAGCCATTATTAAGTATAAAAGATTGTTGTATAAAAATTATGATGGCTAGATATACATTTATAATAAAACTGAGTTTTGCATCCACTGTAAATAATTATTTTTTCCAAAGCATGTTTTTTAAACTTAACTAAATGTTTTAGGAAAAATTCATCTCAAGATTACTGGAGACACGCATCTTTAAATGACCTTATCGAGGAGTTTGATGGCCAGCGGGAGATTATATCGCATTTTGCTAACATTCCATCCAAAGATATTCGAGGTGGTAGAACACCACAGTTACAATTTGAAGGAGACTTAACAATCAACGCATATAAACAATCTGGACTTGAATACGATAATTCGTGGCCAACAAGTTCTAATAAACTTCTTCTTCCCTACACACTAGACTATTTGTCTACTCAAGAGTGTTTAGTATCAATTAGTTGTCCTAAAGAGTCACATAAACATTTTTGGGTAGCTCCTCTCACCAATATTAGGGGTAATAACAACGTTGAATGTAATTCCCTGGCAAGCTGTTTAATCGAGTAAGTCTCATAATTTACTCATTAAATTGAGAATATAATAATTGTTGTAGTGGAACCGCTGAAGAAATTGCCAATTGGTTAATAAATGAAGTTGACCGAGTAAGAACAAATAATCGGGCTCCTTTAGTGTTGCGACTAGACTCGTATTGGTTTGAATTTACCAAAAACAGTTTAGAAGGTTTTACTTTATTTTTAAACGAAATGTCAAGAAGAAATGATGTCTTTTTTGTATCAGTACAAGATATTGTTGATTGGATCAAGAATCCAGTTCCCGTTACAAAATACGTTACCCCAGTACATAAGAGATCTGCAAAGTGCACTCCTATTAGTTGTGCTCTCAAGTTTTTGAATGGAAGCGAAAGGTACATGAAATCTTGCGTTGGATGTCCACGAACGTATCCCTGGAAAGGAAATCCATTGGGAGAATAACAAGAAATAATATTTATCTTATTTATTATACTTACCTTTTTACATTTGCTTTTTACCTACTGTAGGTAACACACTTACTTGAAAAAACACAATATTAAAATATTCTTTTATAATTCTATTTTATTACAGTGAAATCTCCCATAAGCGGACACCAACGGTGACAGACATGCTTTTTGTCCGGTTAATGGAGGTATCCGCTTAAAAGAAATAAGTGTAAATAAACACAAAATAAAAAAATATATTATAAAGATAATAATATAGTATTTGATACAATAATAGGACTTATCAACTACTTTTTGATGAAAAGAAGTAGTTTGCTTCTTGAAATGAACAAATCTATAATTAAAACTTCATTATTCTGACTCTCCCTGATTCTCCCTCCACGTTGTAAACTTAATCCGGCGACATACTGTATAATATTCTTTATTGGGTAGTCTATTTCTAGAGATTTCTTCGTTAACTTAATATAAGTAGAATTTATATTATAAGAACACAAAGATGGACAGAATTTCACCACTACTGAGGTCTGAATCTTAATATACAGGGAGCCCCAGAACTCGCGCCCCAGAGAAAATTTTCAAGTAAGGTAAGATACCAGGAATATGAAAAAAATGTTTAAAAAATTCTATCTGTCAAAAAATTTTGACATTTATTTTTTGACATTTCACCATTTTTTTGTCTATATAATGATACTGATGATCTTGTATATGTTTTTTACAATTATTTAGTAAAGGTACAAAAATTTTGCCAATAAAAGCCACAAATAACAGTGAACAGAGATACAATTTAGGATACAGCTTTCTTGTTTCCTCTTTTAATAGCCTATAGCAAAAAAACTTGGGAAATTATTTTTCCAACAGAAATATATAGAGTCAAAGTCCAAACTTTAAACCCTCATAACTTCGAAATTTTTATAGATACAATTTTTTTGACATTTTTTCCATGTTCCTGGTATCCTACCTTATATGGCTTTTTTCTCTGGGGCGCGAGTTCTGGCGCACTCGTATGTGATTCCCCAAATTTTCTGACGGTTAATCATAAAAATTACATACGCGCGTATGACATGCTGTCCGCTTAAAGGAGAGATTGTGAGGAGCCCGTGTGATCGCAAAAAGTTTGTAAATAAATTGTATTTTTCTTAAAATGTTCAAACATAAAACCAAATATCTTCAAAAAATTTTAGCTGAAAACTCCTCTTAATAAAAAGTTTAAATTAAGAAATGTTCATTAACAAAAAAGTACGTCCGCAAAACTAAAACTGGATAAAATATTTTCAAGCAATATGTCTAAGCAAAACGGGAATATTGCAAAGCGTGTTAAAAAAAAATTCTACTTGAGAAATTTAACCTATTTATTTTTTAAATGACATGCCATCAAAATAGGTTAACCTATTTTTAATAAAACACGTTCACACCATGGAAAAATTGAAAATTTTTTTTTTGAAGTTTACCGTTTTTTTTTAATGTGGCTGTAACCTGCGTTGGACCTACAGCTATCTATCATCAATCATCATACTTCTAGAAATGCCTTTTAGTTAGTCAACTAAAATAGTGATTTCACTATGTTAAAATTAAATATTTCTAGTTACACATTAATACAAGTTTTGAAGTTTCTTTACTTTTTTTGTATTCTTTATGTTTTTGTTTTGTTTATTGAAGATTTTTTCTTTAACCTACTGTTAATTCGTTTACTAAAAAATCCTATCCCAAATTTTAAATATGGACATTATTTAATGTCCCTTTGTAATATTTTATGTTTATGTTGTTAAAAACATGTAGAAAAATTAACAAAACAGGCATTTTTGTGGTACACATTGTTAAACAAAAGTTTAAATTACAATTTCGATAATAAATCAAAACTTTTGTATATTTAAAAAAATATATAAAACATCGTGAAAATTAAGTTGGGCTTATTTAAGTTACCTTAATTATTTAGTAAAGGTACCAAAATTTTGCCAATAAAAACCACAAATAACATTAAACAGAGTTACAATTTAGGATACAGCATCCTTGTTTCTTCTTCTAATAGTCTGTAGCAAAAAAACTTAGAAAATTATTTGTCCCACAAAAATAAATAGAATCAAAGTGCAAAATTTAAACTCTCATAACTACGAAATTTTTATAAATAGAATTGTTTTAACATTTTTTCTATGTTCCTGGTATCGTACCTTATATGGCATTTATCTCTGGGGCGTGAGTTCTGGCGCACTCTGTATGTGGTTAAATAAATTATTATATAACAGATAATCCAATGTTTCAAGTAGAACTTTGATATTATATATTTTTGACTTATTTGTGAATAATTCATAGTTTGTGACTCTTCTGCATTTGAAAAAGGTTTTTTAAAACTCCTAAAAAGTTCGAGAAATAATTTATGAAAACATGTAGTTTGGCTCAAGAAATAAATATTTTTAGGATACTGAATTGGTAACTAGCGTTTACATAGTTACAAACGAGTCCGGTAGATAAAATTTGATGACATAGTCCGGTAGTAGTCTATTACCGACCGTAGCCTATTTACCGGCCGGTAGCCTGTCTACCGGACTCGTTTGTACCTGTGTAAACGCTAATCAAATTTTTATTTTTATGAATTTTTGCTTAACTTGAAAGTTATCGTTGCAGTACCTATCCTAAAACATCTTATACAATATACGACCGGTAGCAATATTTTTATGGCTTTGCCAAACATACAGGTCTCGTCCCATTTAGCCGTATATTTAGCGAAGCCATAAAAATGCTATAGGTCATATATTGTATAAACAAGCTAAAGAAAAATTTAACTAGTGTTATAGTCACCAATTCAGTATCCTAAAAAATAATAAAAATATTAAGCATATGTTATTTGTGTGTATCTATCTACAGTCTGAGTCACTTAGAATAAAGACTCTGACCGATTTTTAAACGCAACCCAAAATACATTCTCACAGTCAACTTTGCTTTTTGTGCGTTTGAAAAATTTAGTTTATTAAAGTCAAAGTAATTGTTGATATGTCATTAGTTAAATTTGACAGTGTCAAAATTCCACTTTTTTTCTCTTGAATTCAAAATGTACTCAAACGACGAAGAAACTGACATGATGTTGAAAAATGGGAAATGCCACAAAATGCTGTGGCTGAATCTGTACCGTCAAAGGTACACCCTAGGATTCCAAGTTATAAAAATTGTCCAAGCTACCACAGGTAGGTATTTATGTTTATACAGGGCGATTTAGATAAGATAATGAGCCTGACGATCTGGCGATGCAACCCAAAAAACAAATTTCGTTTACGTTTTGATCTAATTTTAATTACGATTTGCATTTGCAATCCAAGTTATCTTATGTTGCTCTGACAGTGCTTTGACAAGCAATTTATGATTTATAAAAAAAACTGTTTGCCTACCTTTAGTGTTTAATTCTTTCATACATTTTGTATTGGGTTTACACCGAAAAGACTTCCCTAATTTCTCTATCATTCCGCGAGAACTGAATGGCACTAATAATCGTTCTCTGCACTGATGTCAAAGTGACACAAGATGATAACTTGGATTCAACTTGCAAATGCTAATTGAAATTGGATCAAAGGCGTAAATGAAATTTGTTTTTTGGGTTGCATCGCCAGATCGTCAGGCTCATTATCTTATCTGAATCGCCCTGTATCTTTGAAAAATTTTAAGCAGAACATAATTTACGCATAGTGGTATCTGAGAATATATTTTGGGTTGCGTCTGAAAGTCGGTGAGGGTCTTTATTATATATGACTCACCCTGTATATCATATTAGATAAATTTTCAAGAAGATAAGTCAACAAAAATCCAGTGATATATTAGTTTCCTCGAAATATTGTTTTGATGAACAATTTTTGTGACAATACAATGTTATCATGGCCACATTGCATTATTATCTTATTATCAAATTTTAAGAGCTAAGATTTCTAAAAAGCGATACTAGTTTTTGATTTATAAATGTACAGTTTCACTGATTAGAGCAGTGTTGTTGAAACTGTCTAAAGAATTTAAAAAATGAAAACTACAACGTTTTTTTTGTTATGTATGTGGGCTGTTTTAACACATTCCATGTCTATAAAGGACGCAGAAAAATGTTCAGATGACAATTGCAAAATTGGAGATGGTTGCCGTTGTTCTTCAACAAAGTCGCCTCTCGATGGAGATGCTCCACAGGTACTTGAGATAACAGTTGTATCAAACATCTTGCAAAAATTGTTTTATTTATTATTAGCTGATCAGTTTAACTTTTGATGAAGCTGTAGTCAACAATATTTATACTGATGTTTGGGAACCATTACTGTTTGACCGGAAAAATCCCGACGGCAATCCCATAAGCGCAACATTTTTTGTTCCTCATGAATATACAGATTATAGGAGAGTCCAAGATCTGTACCTTCGTGGATTTGAAATTGGCGTAAACTCCATAACGTAGGATTAGTATTAAATTATTATTGCTTCAGAATATTTAGGTGATTATTGTAGTAAAAACAGTTTGGCACAATATTGGTTAAATGCCACAGAAGAGGTGTTAAAAGAAGAATTTGAGGGTCAGCGCATTCTTATGTCCCACTTTGCAAATATTCCACAAGACGATATTGTGGGTGCTAGAACGCCCCAACTTCAGTTGGACGGTGATGTTTCAATCAATGCTTATGTTGCCTCTGGAATTTTATACGACAGCTCATGGACATCCAGAAGCACTACCATGATGTTTCCATATACGCTTGACTACCTGTCTATACAAGAATGTCGAACCGGTACTACATGCCCAAAAGACTCACATCAAGGTTTTTGGGTTGCACCAATAATTAACATCCAAGGAAATAGCACCGATGGCATACTTGAATGCAATTCACTAAATACTTGTAATTTTCAGTAATGTTTAGAACATACTTTGACTTACAATAAATATTAATAATGTTGAATTTTAGCGGGACTGCTGATGAAATTTCCCAATGGTTACTGTCTCAAGTAGAACGCGAACGGTCCACCACAAAAGCTCCTATAACACTAATGGTCCCCTCATCATGGTTTCGTTTTACCGAAAACAGTTTTGACGGATTTAAAACATTTTTGGATGAATTGGGCAAACTTAACGATGTATTCCTCGTTAGTCTAAAACAAGTGATCGACTGGACCAAAAATCCTGTGCCACTGAGCGAATTTAAAACTGATGTACCAGACAGAACAGCAGATTGTGGAGCAATTAACTGTCCCCTGCAAAATGCTAACGGCGACCTTAGGTACATGATGTCATGTGTGCCTTGCCCTGAAGTGTATCCATGGTTGGGTAATCCTTTAGGACAAGCTACTATAACTGAAAAGACTACTACATCAACTGAAGAGTCGACTACATCATCAACTGAAGAGCCTACTACAACTTCTGAAGATTTTTAATTTTTTTAGCATGTTTTTCAAGAGTGCAATAAAACTTGATTCAAAATATATAAGTGTATTAATAAAAAAATCTTGGTAATTATAATATATTTTATTCTGGCTTGACTAAAAGGTCGCTTTAGGAACGGTCAGAGTACATCTACGTGACGCATTTAGGTAACCAGTAAAACTTTGTAAGACGTTGTAAAAGTTGATAATGGTAGCGTGATCTAATTTGGGCCGAAGTGATTTGTAAATTGACGCGACCTCTACTTCGCTCTTTATATCCTCATGTATATTTCCATTAAAGAAAGCGTTCAGTATTCGACAAGTGTCGCAGGTTCGTAGGGAGGCCTGTTAGTTGTTCTATAAAACTAAATCCTGCAAAAACGTGCACAGCTTTTTGTTGAGTTTGTTTAGTATTCCTGCTTGATATTACCCGCGTAATACATTAATTAATAAGATATCATGGATAATAAATATTAGGTACTTGTGTAAAAGGAAAGAAAGATATTACAGTACAAAATGTATAAGTCAATTGCACAAAAGATGCATTTCATCATCTCAAGAAAAGGTGTGTCTCATAAAAGTAACCTCAAAACTGCTTTTAATAAAGTCTTAATTAATGCAACAACCAACATAAAAATTCTTGAAATACAAACGCCTTATGGTGTCAGGTGTCAGAACTCGCGCTGCAGAGAAAAATTTCAAGTAAGATAAGATACCAGGAACATGGAAAAAAATTATTAAAAAATTCCATCTATCAAAAAAATTTGAAATTTATTTTTTTAACATTTGACATTTTTTATAACTATTTAATGATTCCGATGGTCTTGTAGGTATATGTTTCTTATAACTATTCAGTAAAGATACAATACATTGAGATCAAATTAGCAAAAACAACTACAGAGATAAGTGACCCCATATTTAAAAAAATGTACATTAGGTATATTATTATAGGTATGAGGGTATGAGTTTGTGGTTAAATTTCCTCTATAACTTTTATTGAATTTTTTATTAACAGATGTCTTACAGTTTCTATTTCATCTTTATAAATGCCATCAAAAATTTTGAAATCGCACTTTGTTAATAAGATTTTTCAGGATTACGTTCAACGCAAATATAGAATATGGTCGTATGATCGTATGACTATAATAATTATTTATCAACTACACCATTAACAAATATTTTTATGCTTGACTGTCCATGTACCTAAATTTGGTAGGTTTCGTTAATTTTAATATTTTAAATTTATTTCAATACGTATATTACGTATATTACAAAACAATTCATTTATTTATAAATAGTCGATAGTAAATAGTGGATATTTTAAAACTTAGATCGTACAGTTCTCAAGAATACAACTTAAACACCAAAGAAACACACTCTGTTATCAAATTCAAGTAACAAACATACGTTGTGCAGTGTCACGTATTTGATAACAGCTCTGTTCACAGCGTAAAACTGTAATCTAGTTGTTTCGTGCAATCCAAGTTCAAAGCACCACCCCAAAGAAACCAATGCCGCTTGGGTTATAAAGGAATGACGCAGTGCCAAACTCTAATATGATATAAGACTCGAGACTCTTTCTTTGAAAACAACTAATGTTAGAAGTCAAAGTGTTCAAAATTCTGCTCCAAACATTAAAAATGTGTTAATTTGAAAGAAAATTTATTGCTGCGTTGAGAATTTTTATTACCAAATAGATAATAAATGAGTGTAGGATGAAAAGATAAAAAATGTGTTTTTAAAACAAAATAAAATTTTAAAATTTACTTTATTTAATATCTCAGAGAATCGTATTCTTAGAAAATACAAGGTGATTCACGAGGAATAATAAGCCTGACCAAATTCTCGATGCAACCACCATGACCCTTCGCAAGTTATTTTGCGACAACTGTAATGTTGGTTGCATCGAAAATTTGGTCAGGCTCATTATTCCTCGTGAATCACCCTGTATATATGTATTTATGGAAACTCAATAATACAAAACATTTTGTGACTAAACTAATAATAAACTAAAATAATACTACAACGTTTTTACCCATAGTTGAAATCAATGGGTATCGGTAGAATCATTAATACTTTAAGTTAGATAATGAAGTCAAAATTAGAGAGTCAAGCTTTTTATACCAAGTCAATAAGAAGTATAGAACCAAACGTTTTTTTGTTAAACTATTTATTTTTTGAAAAAACTAATTGATAAATGATAAAGAAGGTACTATAAAAATGTGATGTTTTATCAAGAATAAAAATTTTCGAAATTTTCTTTTATTTATAAGCTACAAAAAAAACATTTTTTTAAATGGCAACCCACTATAAAACCATTTTTCACATGAAGGTTATGATCAAAGGATTACAACTATCTACTTTATATTTAGTGTTTTTATCCACAATCACTAATGTAATTTGCTGATTACTAACCTTTTAAAGGTTGGGAAACACATTATTAAATCTCATGAGGAGTAATAATATTATTCTCTTGGGCAGTAATGTGCAAGATGACCAACCTTAAAATTACAAAAATACCGAGAATTTTTTCTTTCAAATTGTCAAGTTACGCATAATATTTTGCTAAATTAGTATTCTAATTAGTATTGCTTTTCTAGCAATACACTGCTCCATTTCGACGATTTTAAATCAGATGCACACATTATTCCAATATTTTCTTTGACATTTCTGAAATGTCAAAAATCAAACGCCATTTGGATGGTCTGCCACGTTTGGATCTTAACTTTGTTAGAATTTTATTTTATCCAAATTGTTGACTGAAAATAATGTGATTGTGAATAAAATAGCATACAAACCTCGCTGGTATTGGCATTACCTACCTCTTGTGCTTTATGCGATCTCGAGGCTGGCGCCTCTCGATCGTATACAGCGTGCGCCAGAACTCGCGCTCCAGAGAAAATTTTCAAGTAAGGTAAGATACCAGGAACATGAAAAAAATGTTTAAAAAATTTTAACTGTCAAAAAAATTTGACACTTATTTTTTGACATTTGACATTTTTTATATATATTTAATGATACTGACGATGTATATGTTTGTATATGTTTTTTTACAATTATTTAGTAAAGGTACAAAAATTTTACCAATAAAAACCACAAATAACATTAAACAGAGTTACAATTTAGGATACAGCTTCCTTGTTTCCTCTTTTAATAGCCTATAGCAAAAAAACTTTGAAAGTTATTTTTCCAATAGAAATAAATAGAGTCAAAGTGCAAACTTTAAACCCTCATAACTTCGAAATTTTTATAGATAATTTTTTTTTAACATTTTTTCCATGTTCCTAGTATCTTACCTTATATGGCATTTTTCTCTGGGGCGCGAGTTCTGGCGCACTTTGTATACAGAGTGTTCCCGAGCTCCGTATTTCTTCGATTACCCTGACAATAAAGAAGATAACGAAATGCTGTTTTTTTGGGCGATAGACATTCATTTTTTCTATGTGCCAAAAATATTTTCGTCATTATAGGTTCTTCTTCTTGGATCTTCTTGGTATGGAAACGATGAACAAAAACACGATTAGCCCGTCACACCAAACTTTTATTTAAAAAAACACAACGCGTTTCAACCACAAAGTGGTCATCTTCGGGTGAGTTTTATTCTATATAGGGTGGCACAACAAAGTTATATTTTTTTATAGAATACCCGGTATATTATGCGCTTATTTGAAAGAGTTTTTAATTCTAAGCACATCCAAACTAGGTTTTATGGGTCTATCATAAACCGTTTATCATTTATGGGCAATTTTATGAAAAAAAGTACCATTTTTGAAAAATCACAAGGGCTTTGCTAGAACGAAAAAGTGAATAAAAACAATTGCAACCATTTTTACTGAGTCTGGTCCTAAATTATTGTGGTTGAAATTCGATCAATCTTTTGCAACTACTGTAGAGTGTTGACATTCGCAAAATATCAATTATCTTGATTTTTCAAGTGAAACACTCAGTATGTTATTACTTTATCGTGTAGAGCTTTTAATACGCTTTCTAAAAAACCTAGGGTTTGGAGGTCTAGAATCAATTAAATTTTGATTTTTTTTTTAATTAAGATATTGCATTGAATTCCAATTCCCATTAGCGTTTCTTGAGTTTTACGCAGTATTTCAATAAACAACTTGTTTTCTTAATTGATGTATGGTGATACTGATAACGTGGCTTTAAAAAATTATCCAGTTTTTTTAGAAGAGGAATCAGATCTGTTTTCTCATCGTTTGAATGCATTTTGACTTTTTGTTAAACTTAATGTCAGTTGTGACAAATAAAATTATTGGAAGCAAAGCTATCGTGGATTCATAATCAATTTTTCAAACAATGTGATATCTAAAATGTCAACGTTAACTTTGCAAATGTATTGTATTTAAAATTCCGTCGGGCTCATTACTACTCATGAAATACCTTGTATAGTTTTAATAAATATGATAGCACATAAAAAGAAGAGAAAAATTATTAAGTCGAAAATCAAGAGAAAAATTAACTTTTATCTTACATGTTGAGTTTTTGAGACCTTAGACCATTGTTTTCGGTAATAATATCAATCAAATATTATTCACAAGTGAGATAAAATACTTACAAGTGAGTAAATTTGACTATTATATTATATTTACTATTATATTTTTATAGGTGAATATTTTAGTTGAATGAAACTTCATTTTTTGGATAGTTGCACCTGTAAGATAAAACGTCGTATATCACACGTGATCGAAATGCCATTGTGAAACTCTTGAGAAGTGTACCACTAGTGCGCAAGCGCACTCGTCGGTCAAAATTCTCAATCGCGTATAATGATGCATTTCTTTCACTTATAATATAATGTACTATTATTTTCTCTGAATCAAAATAATGAAGTTTTAATTAAGTTGAAGCAAAAAACGTTTTTCTTTTGCAGTTTTGGTGTAACATCAAAGATAAAAAATGTTTCTCTTGTAAACTCACTCCAGGGACATATTGTATGAAACAAACTCCTTGATGTTGTGAAGTTACGATAGGTTTCCATTAAAAAAAAATTACTAAGTTAAAATAAATCAATTAGATTAGATTAGATAGATTTAAAATTAAAACTG